ATTCCTGCTTTGAGCCTATATAACACCCTATGCACACCTTTAATATAAAACTTGTCTTGTGATAGTGTGGTTGTTAGTTTCTTTGCCTGCCTGTTCTATGCAATTGCAGGGTCCTGTGTTTTAATCATCTGCATAGATGAAGCACTTAGTGTGAGACCTGGAACATAACAAGTGCTCAATAAATACCCTAACTGGATGAATGGATAAATGTGAAACAAAATTAAGAGGTGTAAAGCATCCTAGTAGAAGAACAAATACAATGCATTGAGATCTAGGGACAGGAATTATGGCTAAGGGAAATGGAATTCGGGCAGTTTCCTTGGATGAGCAGGATGTTAGAGCTGGGTCTTGAAGCATAGAGGTGATACAGTCATGTGGAGTTGGTGAAGTGTGAGTCGGGACGAAGAGCAAGATCTGAAGAGGAAACAATGTGGCCAATGGCATGGAGGTGGGAAAGTACAGACCTCGAAGAGGGAGTGATGAATTCTTCGAATTATCTGTACCCTAGGTTACCCTGGGAAGAAGGTTCGATTGAGGAGGTTAATCTCTGAATCGTCCTTGGAGTTGTTCAGCAACAACTTTCATCCACGGTGCAATGCAGAGGGTTCAGACTGGGAGGAATAAATGAAGCTGTGGCAGAGCGACAGGGTGTTCTTGAAGCCCCTATTTTTAAAACCAGATACATGCTTTGGTTTTTGGCAGTGCTTTAATAGTTAGACTAAGTTTTTCCACGATGGAATTTGTTTTCCAAAATAAATGTGGAACAAGTATGACCAGAATCTGCCTTTCCTCCACCTTCTCCCTCCCACTCCAGCCCTGTATTCTCTGTCACCTGTGTAACAACCAGTGATGCTCCAGGGACTCCCCATAGAAGCACTCTGGGATGGACGAGTCCTTATCTCCCTCACCTCATCGTTTCAGCCTTGGCTGCTCAACAGATACTACAGATGGCTTAGCTTAGCTCCTGAGGGTAAACTTACAGATCATGCTGTCTTGACTTTTTTCTTGGACATCCTTATGGCTGTCCTTTACCCCAAACCTTCTGATTTATGACCCTCTCTGGCCTCAGAGACCTGCCGGAATCCAGAACAGCCTCAGCCGTGCTTCCCTTCCCAGCAACCCCTTTTCTTATCCCAGCTTATCAGTGGTCATGGTTTTGTTACTGGACTAGGGATCTGGGAGTCTAAAGAAGGGAGACCTTGATTTTATCTACATAATTGTGTTTTCTTTTTCAATGCTTTATCATGCTGAGTAGGGAGAACAGGGCCTGGGTTTAGCACTGGTCCTGCCAGCACTCTCTCTGACCCTCTGTTCTTTCATGAATAAACTCAGAATTGAACTAGATGATGTTTAAGGTTCCTCTGGCTCCAACTGCCTTCATGCTGATAAAATCTACTTGAAGACATGGAGCAATTTTGAGGCTCAGTGAGCAAGTATTTGCAAGATCCTCTGAGTTGCCAAGATGAATATGATAATACGACTGTGGGATTAGCAGGATTCTAATGTATTTATATTTCCAAGTATCTATATTATGTCTGCATGGTTAAAGTTGGAGAAAGTGGAGACATATCCTCTCTCTGACTCTTAGTTTCCAAATGAACGAGCCATTTTTAGAGCAATCCTCTTTAACATGTCATAAAATTAACTACGGGAAAAGATAATGTTACAAATATCTTAAAGCACTCCACGCACACACTTTGCGAAGCAATATTAGGTATCATCAGGCGTTCAAAATGTTTTGATTTTAAAACACTTAATGAAGATTCCCAGATAAATTGAAACACCTCCATCTGCTGTCTTGCATAGTAGGTGATATTTTACCATTGCACAATCATCTTCAAATCTAATTCCACCAGGAAGATTTCTAATCGCAGTTTAATTTGAGCAATATTCCACTTGGCAATCAATAAAGTACTGTCGTCAAACTTTGATTTAATGGGAGACGTGGATAACATGCTCCACATTATGCAGAGAGAGAAATATTTTCAGGAAAGGGAGAGAAGGAGAAAGTCTTTGTCTCCCACTTCCCCTGCTGCATACCATTCAAGCTCACAAAGCCTATAAATCAATACCCCCATGTTGTGTGAATATAAGTCTCATCAATTTTACATCATTAACACCGTGAAAAAGCTACCACTCTTTGAGCAGTTTTTATCTGCTAGCTAACTATGTCCTCTTAATAGAACAAGAATAAATGGATTCTGATTATTCTACTAACAAATACTTCCTTATTTTTGTTGAAATCCACTAGAATGATACAGTTGTCTTATGATCACTTGTGAGGCTAAGGTGACTGGGCAGTGACACTCTTGCCAAGCATGATGTGCAAGTGGGCAACCTGGACAAGGCATAAAGCTGAAGGGAGAGTCTCAGGGGATATAAAGAGGACAGTGAATGATCAGATTCTGGAAAGTTAAGATGCAGCAGCAAATTTTACTGCAAGAATGATTCATGAGGTCAGAAGCCTAGAGAGATGGTGACAGGCTAGGACTGGATGTCTTGGAAGGCCAGAGCCAGTGGTCCAGAACTAAGGTACGGCAGACGCCCACTGTCCTCAGAGGCTGGCTGCGTGGTGCAAGGTTCTAATGGCTAAAGGATGTAGGGAGATGGAACAGGACCTTGGAGAACATCTACTCCAGTGGTTCCCAGTTTTTCATAACTTTCTGTCGCATTACATGTCTCCCTCCCTCCATGGACTCGGTAAGGAAGACGATTTTGTGCACGAAAAAAAAAGCATTTATAATCATTGACTTTCCTATTTGTATTATTTGAACCCACAACTAATTTCCAAAGAGAATCTACTCAAAGATTAGCTGAGTACAACAGTAACTTGATACAATTCCAGATAAACTCAGTATTTTCATTTGCATGCACAGTGAAATATGTAGTCTTACTATGAATAATTATAAATTTCTGTTTAGTTTTTTGAAATGTTGAAAATTGCTTGGGAGCTCTTTTTGTTACATTTAATGACCCTAATAGATCCAGGGCTTTGGGTTAGGTGTCACTTATTGGGTACAAACATCTCACTTGATAGAGGAATAAGCTGAGGTTCGGAGAGGGACAGTGAGTGCCTTTTGATCACATAGTGACTAGAATTCAAGCTTCTTAAGACTGAGTGTCATGAAAAGGCCCTTAAAATTATAAAGACTATGAACATGTTATATAACACCTAGATGCATACATAACCCTTTACAAAGTACTGTTTAATGAGGGTTTCTTTAAGTAGGTTTCGTATAGGAAAATGGCCATAAATATCACCATCGCCAACAGGATGGTGAACATTGTTTGCTGAAGCTTAGATAATAAAGGAGGGGAGGTCAGTTTCAAAAGACTTTCAGATTATTGATCAGCTATCCCAGTTCACTTCAGTTGAACAACTCTTGGCCAGGCATACTGCAAGGTACTAGCACGACAAAGATGAGGAAGACAGAGCCTGCTGGGGATCAGGCAGTTATCAGAAAGGCAAGGTCTGTGAAAGCAGGAGCCCAGGGAGCTGTTTGTGAGAGTCCCTCAGGAGCTGTAGTATCTCTAGAGACTGAAGTTCTGTGGAAACACAAAAGAGGGAGGAGTTATTTCTGCCGGGAAAGTGCAGGCAAGCCTTGTTCAGGGAGGTTTAACAGAAGTGGCACTATTTCAAATGGCCTTTGTAAGAGGAATAAGATTTGGGCAAGTGGATAAAAGAATGGGCATTGCAGACAAAGGGACCGACTCATGAAAAGCCACAGGGATATGGGGGACCCCACCTCTAGCCCAAATGGTGACTCTGGACCACAGCGAGAAAGGTGTTTGTTCCTCAAGACACTCTTATCACCATCTGTCAGGAAATTGTTGTAACCATGCAAAGCCATGGTTCTATCAATGTGAATGGCGCCCCCGCTGGTTGTACAGTGTGCATCTTCCCCCACGGCAAGCAGAAGCCCTGGGTATATGAGCGTATTAAATACCAAGCTGCAACTTAGACCGGGCTGTATCATGAAGAAAGATGTAGCAGAAGCCTCCACCACTGAATGGGCCTGACTGGCTCTGGCAGGCTGAAGGAAACCATCACCACAGATGCCCATTCAGCATGTGAGCAGTTCTGTTTATCTGTCCGGTCACAGCACTAAGACCGTGGAGGGGAGCCTCAGTTTCCCAAGGGCAGGCACAGCATTCTTTCCTTCCATCTGGACCAAACAGCTTTCCCAAAGCCCTCCGGGCGTGTTCACACATAGCTGAAACGCATCTCTTATTGATCAATAGCTCAAAGGGAAAGTTCCCTGAAATATGCTCTTCCTTTTGTCTCTCGTAGGCCCTTCAGCATCATCATGCTGTTCATGAAATATCCTATATTGCAAAGGACATCACAGATCACCGGGCCTTTGGATACGTTTGTGGAAAGGAAGGGAATCACAGATTTGTGGCCATAAAAACAGCCCAGGCGGTGAGTACCACATCCAAGGAGGGCATCTTTCCTTATAACTTTAGGAAACAGCACAGTCACACTGCTGGTCTCTGAGAGCCCACACTGGTGTATGACTAAGTGGTGCTGATGCTCAGGTTCTCATCTAGAAAAGATAAACATCCTTGAAGCGAGGAAACAGGCTCATGCCTATCCAGTTTTTTTTTACTGTTGTTTTTTCTAATGGGTATTTTGTAATGACTATTTTCTTTTCTGATTAAGCTGGATGGAGGCATAATATACAAATACGTTTCCTGTGTTCGTAGCCTCATTTAAAAAGAAAATAAGAAAAAATAAATAGCTCTTTTGCATAAGGCCTACCCTAATTTTATTGTATCCAAAATTACTAATAAATAAAAACATTGCCTTTTATGCTTATGATTATTATGAATTTGTAAATATAATTAGTTGAAGAAATGAACTTTAGCCTAGATGCAATTTGCTAAACCGATATAAACAAGGTAGAATTAATTAAGGATGGAATGCTTTCACTTTAATAGGAGAAGGAAGGGCTGAGGATTGTAGCCGGCAAAAACAAAAATCGGTCGCTGCCGCTCAGTCCCATTCCCTTATTAATGCGTTTTACCACCTTTTACTCCAGGCTGAACCTGTTATTCTGGACTTGAGAGATCTCTTTCAACTTATTTATGAATTGAAGCAAAGAGAAGAATTGGAAAAAAAGGCACAAAAGGATAAGCAGTGTGAACAAGCTGTGTATCAGGTATACCTGTGAATTCATCCTGGTGCTGGAGAAGATTGGGGCTTAAAATAAATAGATGTTAAAACTGACAGTCAGGGCTTCTCTTCCTGCCGTGGAGTAGAAATAAACAAAGATGAAAGGTTCCTGTGTAAATTACAGGCACCTAAAGCAAGCCATTATAAATGAGCCCTTATTCTCTGAAATTCTAGGTATTGAAGAGAAAGTGAAATCTTGAACCCAGAGGATACTTTAGTGGAGGAGAACAAAAGAAACACAATTGCTTTTGTTATTGTCACTATGGGGGCGGGGTTGGCTACCAAGGGTTTTGATTTTTTTCTACATGTTTTCTACCTTAATGACCCATCAGCCTATCCTGCCCAGAGCTGGTTTCTTTACTGTCCTGTAATTTCTGAATACGGTCTCATATCTCTTCCTTTATATCCTCTACTTTACACCCTCCCTTCCCTCACTCTGCTATAGACAATTCTGGAAGAAGATGTTGAAGATCCTGTATACCAGGTAATTTCTGAAACTAGTTGGGGTTTTAGGGTCAGGAATGATTAGGGGTGTGGTTCAGCCATTTAGTCTGAGACCTGAAGCATCCCCTGACTGCAGAGCCCAGAGAGGGATTCCTGAATGGGTGGGCTGCCAAGCCCCTTCAGGAACGAATTCCCATAAAACCTGGCAGAAGTTTGGCGGGCATCAGTGACATGGGATTTGGAGATGCACTTCTCCCTTCTTGTCCTGCCTCAGCCCCCTCCACAATATGTAACAGTCTGATCCCAGAGCTGAATGTTTTCAAGAGTCTCTTGAATATTCTGAGTTCACTAGAGAGACCGAATCATGAAGTGGTTTCTCCGAGTTAAGAAACGAAGGTGGAGACTGACATTCGGACATTTGAACACAAACCCAAAAGATGGTTTGTAAGCTTTAGAAAGGATGTGAGAGAAAGTCTCCTGTCTGGTCCCTGATCTGCCAGACTGCTCATGCCACAGGGGCTGTTGTGAGGAGGGAAAGGGTGTTCCTAGAGAATCTCAGCCCGTAGCTTTCCCTGGACTCACCTCATGGTTGCAGCTCAGGTGAGGGTAGAGAGATGATTTCTCTTGCGTTCTAGTATGTGCTGTGTTCAAACAGATGCAGAAAAAAGGTAAGAGGAGGCCTCGTCCCCTCTGTGCTTATTCCCCAGGAGAGAAAGAAGACCAAAAACAGATTAGTTGGACATAAAAGAAAACCTGAAACTTATATTTCTAACTGGGACACACATGAATAATAGATGTGTGTATGTCACATATGCATATATGTGAATGCATATTTTCACAAAAGAAGCTGGTTACCTCTATGACAAAAGTAAAATATGGATTTTAAAAGTAATATAATATGGAAAAATTGAAGTGCAAGGAGTATCTAGCATGTTTGGAAAACAGAAGTAGAAATGCTTTTAATGGCATGCCCTTGCTATACAATGAATGCTGAGGCCAGGATTTGTTTATAATATGAGCTCAGCCCCAGGCTAACTGGCTCACAGAGAATGTAGAATATTGACCTTTTTGAAATGGCTCCATTCTTTAGAGTCTGAAACATGCACGTGAAAAATTTTATCTTTTATATTTAAAGCTGCGAATGTAAATTAAGGTGATATTTATGAGATGAGAGAATTTGGGATTCTGAGCTCTTCGGAGCTGGCTTCGGGCCTTGAGCCTTAGAGAGCAAAGGGAGACAACCACTGTCACCCAAAGTTCACAAAGTTGGAATCCAGGCATTCTCAGGAGACATCATTCCCACTCAGCAACACCAGCACAAGTGTACATTACTGAGATAAATGTCACTGAAGGAGAGGTTATATCTCAAGAAAGATCTACTGATGCCCCAAGCAGTCATCACCAAGGAGTGACCGTCAGACCTTTGCAGTTTTCCTCAGGAAAGGCAGGAATGGGCAAGGCCCATCTGGTTTTTCAGTTGTCTTTTTAAGGCATTTTCTCTTGTGCCTGTTCCTTTAATGCTCACTGTGATTTGTATCTTGAATTCCAAATGCTGTTTTTTTTCCTCTTTCTTTTGCCCCTCTGATCTTTCCTCTCTGGCTGCTCCGTTAATAGTACATTGTGTTTGAGGCTGGACACGAGCCAATCCGTGATCCCGAAACGGAAGAAAACATTTATCAGGTATAAAATCACTTCCCTCTCTTACTGTTGCTCCACTACCAGTAACTGCACTGACAGGTCTGAAGGACCAAGGGCTCTCTCCTCATGAGCGTCACTCCTGATCATTCTAGGCTTGTTAAAATCCCTCCATATGAATTGGCTTCTAGTTCCCCTCCAATGTACCAGTAGTTGTCATGCCTTATTGTTAAAATGATTAATGGCCAGTTGAGTACAGTGTTTTAATTTTTAGTGGATCCTAACTATTTTCAGTTGACCCCAAAATCAAACATTCCATGTTACTAAAGTACTCCATCGGATGGTTGTTGTCCATAATATATCAGGGTCTTTCATTTCTCAAAAGATTGTGCTCATTCAATTTCTTTAAAAAGCTGACCACACTACTGAAATTCAAAAATGGTACTTGAAAACAACAGTGGGAAAATTAACTGAATAAAAGAAACTATAGCTAAAGGTTTTACCCCTTCTGAAGGGAAGGTCAATTAGTATTCTTAAATGTCTGCTTATGTGAAAAACCATGAACACACTTTTAACTCCTTTAATTCTCATAAATATGCTATAAAGTAGGCATTTTAATCCCACTTTTACATAGGGAACTGAGACTCAGAGAAACTGAGGAGCTTTCTCAGGGCCGTACAACTATTTAGAGCTGAGATCAAACCCAGGCAAGTAAGTGAAGGCAAAACTCACACTTCTTCCCCTGTGAATTCATCAAAGAGTTTGAGTCATTGCAGCATAGCAACACATCAAACAAATATGATGACCTCCAATTTTTCACTAATTAGAATCTTAGACCTAATTTAAATATAAATATTATAGAAGTAGGAAAAAATTTGATGTATTTCGTAAGTGATTTTAATTTTCTTAATTTACTTAGTTGTGCGGTATGTTATTCTGCCTTGGGCATGCATTACTTGTATTATAAAAACAGATTTTTCAATTTCCAGCAAATGCACAGAGTTCTGAATGACCAAAGTATAACCTTAGCTCTATCAACAACTCAGTTTAAACCAGCCCTGAGGAATAATAATCTAAGGACAGTTGACACTTGAATAATATGGGTTTGAATTGCATGGGTCCACTTCTGTGCTGATTTCCATCAGTAAATACCTGCACTGTTTTCCCTCTTTGGGGTCAGAGGACTGATTGCACTGATCTATGCCATTTTATATAGGGAACTTTGAGCATCTGCTGATTTTGATATCCACGGAGTTCCTAGAACCAATCCTCCATGGACACCAAGGGGCAACTAAGTTCTTGGGGAGTTAAAAGTTCTATACAGATTTCTGACGCCTGGAGGGCTGGCACCCCTAACACCCACCTTGTTCAAGGGTCAGGTGTATTTCTCTCTGCCAGATTTGTCTGGACTGGATCACGTGTGAGGTTATGCTTCAAGGTTTTGTTTAAAATCATCACCTAAAAAGTTTCTCTCTCCAAATAGATAAGTTGCATTATTTGTCCTCAGTGTCAGATTTTAACATACAACCTTGCAACGTCTGAATATGAGTCCAAAGGAACCATTAACCAGTACTTCTCTGAAGAGAGAGCACCTTTAAAAATAATAGGCTTTTCCATATAAGAGGTTTCTGAATTCAGACACAGCTGGAGTTGGCGGGACTCCCGTTGTGCCCTGTGGGGGACTGCTGGGGAGGGGTTTTTAGGCAAGTGGAGAACTGGGTTCTAGCTTTGGCTCTGTCTCCAACAACCTCTGGCTAAGTGGTAGTAGGCGAGGTACTTGCCCTCTCTGAGACTCAGTTTCCCCAAAGACAAAATTGGAGAATAATTTCTCTCTAATTCACATGTTGTCATGAGAACGACACAAGCTGACACGGAGAAAGAGGCTTCATCCTGGTCACACACTGAGTCCACTGTGTGTAGATTTGGGATCATCGTACAAGTACGACCAAACCCAGCCACTAATCCACCTTGTCAAGTTCCTTTTCTTCTCTGGGCCTCAGTTTACTCATCTGTAAAATGAGTAAGGAAGAGTAAAGAACATCTCAGGCAAGGCCTTTTTCTGCTCTCCGTAGCTACTGCCTCATCATAGGCCTGTGATTCTTTAAAGGAACGTGTTGGCTGGCTTTACAGGACAAAACTCTTAGAAATAGGGTGTGTGTGTGTGTGTGTGTGTGTGTGTGTGTGTGTACGCATAGTTTTGGTAACGTTCATTGGGTGCTGATTGTGGGCTGGCTCTGTGAATGAGGGTTTATACACAGTATCTTATTATCCCTCAAAACAACCCTATGTGGCTTGAACCATTATTTGTACCCTACAGTTGAGGAAAGTGAGGCTCACAAGGTCACAGCTACAAGAGGTAGTAGTCCCCACTCACACCCAGGTCCCTCTGACCTCTGTAAATAAAAAATAAATCTGGGGCTCTTTTCATCTGGGGCTCAGAATATCCTGATGCTGAGTTTCACAATTGGATTCTGTGTATGTTTCCAGTCACTATGTAAAAATCACACTTGTTTTAACAGTCTGACCTCTGGGATCTTCCTGGCTGTCCATCGTTAACAAGAAGGTACCATTTAAGAGAATGAATATTTTATTGCCCTCTATTGGAGAGGCCTCTAATAATTTTCCTTTCTTGCAATTGCCAGTCAGCTGGGCCTCAAAAATGCTTAACAAGAGATAAGCTCTTGGGCCTAAGGATAAGGCTGAGCTTTAAGGAACTGCTATTAGGAGCCTCATTATATTTTTTTTAAGGGCCTACAAGTGTTTCATAGCTATTCCTCTTGAGTAGATTGCAATGTTTCTTATACTTCATCTTGGCCCAGGGTGGTCTCAGATTTCATTCCATTCCATCCCCCTGCCCCCAACCCTCGGTTTTCTGGAATGAGGTAAACAGACTTGGAGTCTAATTCTTTAACTATTTTGTGACCTTGGGTGAAGTATATAGCTTTTGTATCTTCAATTTCTTGGGCTATAAAATAGGAATACTGTAATACCTGCTTCTAGAAGTGATGCGAAGATGTAAAGTGACAAGGACAAGCACCTCACCTGGTCCCTGGTAGGTTCTGTATAAATGTTAGTTCCCTTCACTTCCTAACATTGTCAGTATCAGATGCTGCTCAGGATGTCTTATGATGATGTGTTAACTGAAGTAGAACATGACTTGCTCACCTCAACTTGTGAGAGAGCCCAGTGGAAAGCTGCAGCCTTGCCTGACTTTGCTGTTTATAACTCCAGCCTAAGGGAGACAGAGGCTCTTGAGTAAACGTAACCTCTCCTCAAGGATCAGTAGTCTCATTTTCCAAACTGGATTAATAATAGTAATTGTCTTTCAATTTGCATGCCCAGAAAAAGTTATCAGCTGTCTTCTTAAAACAACACAGAGCCTCTTTGGGGTTTTTACACCTCACTCAATTTTGACCCTTCCATTAATGGTGAGATAAGAAGAACAGTTACAATGATAATAAGAAAGTCAAGCCCTCCAATTTAAGTGCTGGGCCCAAGGCCAGAGGCTCTAATTCTAAACCCAGTGTTCTTTTGCACTTTAACAAGCTTCCTGCATGAGCGAGATCACATCTTTCCATGCAGGAGTTCTCCAATTTTATGCATTTGAAAAATTGTTTTTAATCACCCACAATGTGTCATGTATCATTATTTTAAAACAGTAAGCCTCTAGTCCTATATCACCCAGCCCTTAAAACACCTCTCCACACTGTTAATGTGTTGCTCAACTGAAAGTGTCTTCTGTATGTACAATACTCAATGTATAGTTTTTAGAGTCATTTCATGTCTAATAACTCATTCATTCAAAAAGTGATTATGTATGGAGCACGTAGCATGTGCAGGGCACTTGGGGCTGTAATCGTGACCACAGCATGGTCCCTACCCTTAAAGAGTTTATAGGCAACCCCCTGGACACTCATGACAACCAGATGAGGAAACTGAGGGCAGAGAACAAAGTGACCTCTGAGGTCACACAGCCTGTGACAGAGCCAGGATTAGGAACCAGATCTCCCACTTCCTTTTGGTCCAGAACTGTTATCACTGTACAACATCGTGTGACTAAAATGGTCTGCAGACTGCATGGACTGGTCAGGGGGAGATGAGAGCCAGCACCGAGGCTCTTTCTGGTCTTTGTCCCTTTCACATCTTGCCAGTGTTCTGTCCTCAGTACACACGTGGTAAATGTTTGATGCTTAGACATTTCTTGCTCAACCAGTATTTACAGATAGAGAAATAAGGATAAGAAAATATTCGCTCTGCCCTCAGCAAGCTTACAGAGCAGTAGGCGTACAGAGGAGGAGCAGGCAGCTGCAGTTTGGTTTGAAAACTCCCGTATAAGATAAGCACATTTTATACTCTACTGTAGCAAGCTGATTACTTTTTCATCTCCCCAGCAAGACAAGGAGCTCTGTTCCATCAGGGGCCGTATCCATCTTGTTCTCCATCATTGTTTCAAGCCAAGCACAGTGCATGACACGTAATAAGTACTTGGTAACTTTTATTTTTTAATGAAAGGATGCACCAGAGGTTACAAAAGTATAGAGGAAGGTTCAAACTAGGCCTGGAGAGTTGAGCAAGGCTCCCAAGAAGATGTCCTGGCTGAGATAAATCTTAAAGGACAAGTGGGCAGATTGATATCTCACCCATGGGAGAGCCAAGCAGAAAAAGCTTTTTCAATTATGCACAGTTTGGGTTTATCCATCCCACTGCTTCTCCTCCATTTGCAGGAATAATTGAGAGTCAGCAGCAGTTCAACTTGCTCAGTGCCCTCAGTGAGCAGTGAATTACGGGGAACAGCAATGCTGTTCGTTGTGCTCAGGAAAGGGTGAGCCAGTAGAAATAAAAGTGAGGGCTGGTAATTTATTGGCCCTCATTAACAAGGACTCTGTAGGCATTCTTAGAGGATTCCTTTTAGGGGGAGCCCAGTTATTGGGAGCAAAGAAATTACATTCTTCATTGGCTACCTGCAAACGAAGGTTTGCAAGAGCAGCTCTACAGTGCGTCTTTTGCACAGCCATGCTCACGCATAGTGCTCTTTTCTATAAGAGTGTGCACGAGTTTCTGGGAGTGTGGAACGTGATGTCGAAGAAAAAGGAGCACCTGAAACAGCTGCGGGAATGGTGGGAATAGGGAGGAGACGCAGCTGTCTATGTAGTTTAGTTAAAAGAATCTGCCCAGGCTCAGACTGCTGGCTCCCTTGCTCACCTCTCCAGGCCTCATTTTCTTCCTCTGCAATATAGGAACAATTGTCATCCTTACCTGATTGACTCCTCCTGAGGATTACATGAGAATATACATAAATACAAATGTTTAAAATAGTGCCTCGCACATAGAAGGTGCCCCATTAGTGTTAGCTCATCTGTTAGTAATAAATGTCTTGTTTGGTAGCCAGAAAGAGCTGGGTTTGAATGTGATCACTTTCTAGCATTGATGTTCTGGGAAAATTTCCCTAACATCTCTGAGTCTCACTTTCCACTATTTAAAGTGGAGATTATAATACCAACTTCTTAGGGTTATTATAAGGATTTTAAATTAAATGAGAGTGAAAATGACAAAGAGACTGAAGGAATAAGCTTAGATTCATATTTCTCTAAGAGTGGTGTATGGTTAGCTGGTTAGCCTGTTCTTAAGGAGCTTCCAGGCTGATGGAAAGAAAGACAGGTCATCAGACAGTTATAAAACCATTGCTGCTGGTCTCTCCAATGGAGGTGTGAGCTAAGCTCTGCTAAGTGCTGGAGAAGAACTAATGATTACTTTCAATCTAGAATGCTTGATTGACAAATGAGAAAAATTCGACATATCCACTGTTGTATTATAAAATGCGTTCATATACGTATCTGTATAATGCGTCAATGATAAAAGAAGGTACCATTCTAACATTTTATAGTCTTACGGTGCTTAATAGTTTTTGATTATTTACTGTCTGTTTTCTCATTTGATCCTCACAATAATCTGAGTGAGAAGCAGAGCCAATAGTACCCATTTTATAAAATTGGAGCTCAGAAGATCTAAGTGACCTGCTCAGGGTATTTCAGTTAACCACATGGCCCAATAAAACCCGATGAATGAATAAGAGAAAAGAGGGAAGGAAGAAGATACAGATACATGTTTTAAAATATCACGATTTCCTGGATTCTCTTGCTTCTTATACCATTTCTGGGCCCCTTTCTTGAACAAAAAACCTTTGGTAATTATCCGATGGCTTGTACACGATCCCAGCACACACTATACTTTGTACTAGGACCTTGATATTTGCTATATTTTAAATAGCCCAATCTCAGTCGAACAGTTTAAGATGAGTTGCAAACTGTTTTTAATCATTTTGGGCAACTCAGAGAACCTCCCTGCGCCTCATTTTTGGCTTTGGTGAAATCAGGATTATTTTTTTCACCACATGATCCCTGAAGTCTCTGCAACGTTTTATCCTGTGATTCTGTGAGGAACCCAGTGGCAGAGAAACCCCGCAAACATTTGTTAATGATTTTCCTAAATGTAGGAGCCTGGCCTCCTGCTTTCACAGTTCCAGCAGCCCCTCGGAGCTGGCCCCTGGGACCTCGGGGGCTGTTCTCACACACACTTAGCCAGTTTGGAGTTGAAGTCTGGTTGCGGTGTTCTTTGAAAATGGAGTTACCAGAGTGTTTTGACTGTGTCGAATTTGATTTTTCCATAGGTTCCCACCAGCCAAAAGAAGGAAGGTGTTTATGATGTGCCAAAAAGTCAACCTGTAAGTGTAAGTGTGTTTTCTCTCTACTGTCAGATTCCCATGACCTGGATTCACATTGAGATTATGTCTACGGCTTGAGGAAAGGAACTCCTCTTCTGGATAAGCGCCACAACCCATATGGCTTTGCTTAGGGGGAGGGGTGCAGGGGGACATGCAGGGACTCCTCAGTGGATCAGAGGGTAGGAGGCATAAGGGAGAAATGATGGCACTGAGGAAAGGGTGCCGATCTGGGTGGAGGTCTGGTTCCATGAGAGGGAGTGAGTAGAATCGTGCCAACCACCATGTCCAAGGGACTCAGGGTCTCGGGTATTCCATGATAAAAGTTTTCAGCCAAAGATTTTATTATATCTGGTCAAATGATAGAGACGGGGCAGTGTCTTGATTTGGGGAAGAGAGTTGCCCATCCAACTTGAAAGTGGTTGAGAAGTTTCAGAGGGACAATAGAGGAAGGGCTGGCCAGGACCTTTAGGTGGAATAGTCCAGCCAACAGGCAGAGAGCTGTGGAAAAGGCCATCTGAAGTGGGCTTACGAGAACCCAGGAGGTCCACTGCATCTGTTTCTCATCTGCTGATGGCACTTCTGGAAAGTGAAGGGGAAAGGAAATTTCAGGCTCTGTGGTACTGCCCCCAAGCCTCTTCTAAGCCCAGACCCACATTTAGGATTTCCAGTTGGCACTCAGAAGGAACTGCTGTGTATAATTAAGGGAGCACTGGGGAACCAGTGAAGGTTCTTGAGCAAGAGGGACATGAGCCTTTGCCACAGACTATGTAAAAACAAAACAAAACAAAAAAACTGGCGTGTTTAGTCACTATTGATCTTATTCAGCTCAACAATAGTTGGAAGGAGTATGAGTCTGAAGAATCCCAAGCACTGGTCTTCACAAAGCTGCCGTGAGGCTAAATGACTCTTTCTGGAACATTGTTGTTATTTCTGACCTCACACTGTGGGAGTCATAAAGATACACCTGTATGTTTCAAGATCAGATTGATATGGGAGTTTGACACCCCATCCCATGAGGAATAGCTGGAGGACCTAGAAATGCTTGGCCTAGAGGAAAGAAATCATAGAAAATAAAATATGGAAATGGGAGTCCGAAGGGCCATGTGCAGAAGAGGGATTATAGTGTTCTGTGTTAGCCGGCTCATGGAACTGAGACCAGTGGGGACACTGCAAGAAAGCCAATTCCAGCTCAAAGTGAGGGTGACCTTCCTGAGGGTCAGATCTGTTCAAGGGCGGAGGAGCTGGCCCCTTAAAGAGTGTGCTCCCCATCAGTGGAGCTGCACAGCAGAGCCCGGAAGACCACCTGCCAGAAAAGCTGTGATGGAGACAGAGAGGGATTCAAACATGGAATGAGTAGAAGGGCAAGACGAGCTCTTGTTGTCCCTTCCACACCTGGGCTTCTAGAGTGTCTGAGCTGGGAGTCTATTCTTACCCTCACCTGCCCCCATTCCCCTTTTCCCTTATGAAATTTCTTTTTGACCAATGTCCATTTTCCTACCCTATTCTGCCAGTGTCTTGAAACCACAATATCCTACCTAAATACTGCTTCCGAAACCCCATGCCGGTTAATTTTAATGAGAAAACATACCTGCATACAAGCCCCTTTTCAAAAACCCGAGTCTGGAAACAGAGAACATACAGTGTGCTGCTCAGAGAAAAAGCCATTTTTCTCCCCAAGGTCTTTGGGTTTAATCAAGCCTCCTTGTCACTGAGACAGTGGTCTTTCCTGTTTCAATTTGATCCAGCCGCCATTACACAGCTCCCTACAATTCAATTTGTGCCTAAATTGCCTCACTTGCCCCTAAAAGGTTTAGAGACGTGAGGAAACATGCTTCATTTGCTGCCTTCGTTTTTGTGAATTTATTAACCAACCTAACCACACCATCTCAAGACAAGCTTAATAGTTTAAAAAAAAAAAAAAAAATCCAAGCTCCTTAGCCTGACATACACAGCACTCAGGTCCTGGGCTCAGCTTTTATCTCTAATCTACCTCCTGGTCCATCTCTACTGAACTCCATGGTAACATGCCCTCCCCTAATGTCCCAGCTTAGCTTCAAGCTTTGTGCTCTCAGGGAGTCTTTCTGGACTTCTGCCCCAAACAGTGTCAGCAGATCACCCCTACCTTTGTGTCCTCGTACCCTATCATTCTTCTATTAATAGCTCTTACCACAGTGTCAAATTCCTCCTTCTTCTCCTTTATTTCCAGGAGCTTTCTGAGGTCCTTGTAGGATCAGAAGCAAGCCCAGGGCCTGGTATGCAGAAGCCAGGCATGACATAGCCACTCTAGGAATATTTGATAAATATATGAATGACTCTACCCTATAGTAGGAATTTATGAAAATCCCTGGCACTTTCTCTAAATGGGAACTCCCTGGTTTTTTTTTCTGACTCAAAAATAGGCATTAAAAGTAATAAGGTTTTATTGGAAAATGTCTGGGCTGCTTGAATGGCCTGCAGTGGCTCCCAGCCTGCTGTTCCCACAGCGTCCTAGAAGCATTTAATGGTGCTAATGGCTTTTTCATGAATGATTACAACATTACTAAACGCCTAAGAGAGGCTGCAGGTAGAAAGCGCAGGCTCTAGTGGAGAGGCAAATGGATACAGTTGGGACCTGAGCTCCCGCTCTTACTACCTGTGGGACTTCTGACAAGTTTCCTTGCCCCTCTGAGTCTCAATGTTCTCACCTATCAAGGGGATTATTGAACCTAACTTGCAAGGTTAGTTTGAAGATAAAGTCATGGATATATTGCAGCGTTGGTTCCGCTTGCCTAAACCTCCCAGAATTATTTTAAATACCCCATGTTTCTCCCCGTTCTGGGATCTTCCTGTCCTCCAGGCTTCCTCCTATAGACCCGCCTCACTGATGAGGGCACCTTCCCGAGGATACCTCTGTGCTCTGAAAATTCCTGCCATGACCTCACTGTTTGCCCCCTTACCACCTGCTCCTTAGCCAGAAAGATAAATACAACCAAAGTAGTGCATGTGAAGCAGCTTCCAAGTTGTTCGGGGCTTCCAGAAGTTTCCCACAAGAAGGGAAACTGCCCAGTGTCCTGTTTCTCTTTTTCCTCCTTGGGTCCAAATCTGCATAAAGCTCTTGTAAAAGATTCAGCTATAGGATGTTATTGAGGAAAACCAGAAACCAGCCCAAAAAGATCTTCAGAGTCAGATCTGGGCATGCTGTCATCCTGGCCACCTACTAAGGGTCTTTAAGCAGTTTTTTTTATATCTCTAAGCCTCAGTGTCATCATCTGTAAAAAGAAAGTAATGCCTATATAAAAAGGAGACATTTATGTAAAACCCTTAATAAGGGATAGGGATTAAATTAAATGAGAATATTTTCATTTGAGATAAGTAATGCACCAGCAAACAGTTCTCACCGAGTGGGGGGATTGCCAAGTATTTTAGGTGATTACACTCCTCCTCCAGGAAGCCTTCCTTACTCTAGAGTAATCAGCCCCTCTGGCATACCTCTGTATTTCTCTTTGCAATGATCATATGGGTTGTTTTCTCTACGTGTGTTCATGTGAGCCAATGGACTTTGAGTTCCTTAAGAGCTTTGCCTTTGGGGTTAATGATATTATCTGCCTTAGAGTTTTTGTGTAAAGACTAGAGGAGCTTAAATATATGAATCAGCATAGTGCCTGTTCAGAGGGAGGATTCAGTAGCTGTGAGCTATTCTTCTGTTTGTTTCCCCTACTTTTCTGTGACCTCTTGAGAACAGGGATCACTTTTAATCATCACTATCTCTAAAGTAACTCTTCTTGGGAGTTTCTGATCTCTGCAATTTTGATGGTAGATTTGCCCCCCACCACCCTTCCCCCCAAAAAACATGTACAGATAAATTTTTGTAGGCCTGAAAGCTGATGAGGTCCCTCAATCTCAGCTCTAGATCTTCTGTCCTAGAGCCTCAGTCATTGGCTCATCTTCACTCTTGCATGGACAGAGACAGCCTCAGGAAGGTGGCATATTTGATGTATCGGGGACTCCAGAGTTTTAGGGCAGCAAAAGTTAGAATTCATTATGTTTCTTATTGATCTCACCCATGTCAGTGCATCAACTTATGGGAGCAAAGTTTTGTTTCGGTTATCTGGCGCCAGGTCGAGACAGAAAGTTGATTCCATCTTTTTACTTTCTTTCCTCATATTCACTCAGCCCTGCCCTAGTTTTACCCCATCTTGCGACAGAACCTTAGGATGCTCAGCTGTGCTGACCTCTTTCTTGTTCTTTTACAAATAACTTGTTAAGATGCTCTTGTTTGCTTTCTTTAATTTGGACCTGTAATGTCTCCTTCTTCTAGCAGATTTGTTCTTAGAGTCATGCTGTGGTCCCCTCCACGCTTTCTTAAAAACTCTGAGCCAAGATAAAGATTAATCCTATCCACTCCGGGAAATATACATTTCATCTCTTCCGGGTCAAGGCAGCTGGAAGCTTTGCACAGGGGCTAATCTCTACTGTATCTTAAATACATGGATGCATTTTTTATGTCAGAGTCTCCGAAATCCAATGGCATACATGCTGGCTGACAGGAAATGTTAGATGGCTGGAGAGACAGGGAAGTTTCAGGAAAGAGGGTCTAATGTGGGCAAAGCTTTGACTGGTAGGCAGGATTTGAACAGGCAAAAGAGAAATGGAAGACCTTCTAGGCAGATCATTGAGGTCCCTCTAGCCGTACAGTCCATCCTGCCTGTACTTAATAGCAGTCAGAGCTGATTAATTTATCATAAGTTTCTATCTAAAAAAAAAAAACGGGGACATACAAGTAATTTTTATTTCTGCCAGCTGATAATGCTGGTCATGTTCTTTAGACAGATATCCCGTCTCATTGGGACTGTCAAAAATGCATATTCTGAGTGTAGAGGAAGGTGTCTGCTAAGCATCCCATTACTGCATTCATTATTTAGTGCTTTTTGCACTCTGTTAGCCTTTGAACACGATTCTCATTCCACAGTGGGACCTCAAGTGGAGTGGTGCAGTCACAGGCCGCTGAAATGCATTTTTCAGACCCT